CTCGTGTAGCTTTGCGCGAAATTCCAAAACAAACCAACAAACTTATGTAAATTATAAACGTTGTTTTATTTCCATTATATTATGAGGATGATATGTATTATCAATTATAACTGTTTCAAGAAGTCGCTGAAATATTTCAAGTATATAAATCAATTGTATATTGATATTCACAGGTAGAAGCTCCCATAAAAGACGTTTATCGGAATCTCCAGTTGTACTTGGTAGTTGCAGATTCCAGGATATTGGATCACAATCTTCACAATGACAACCCTATTTACCTGGAGCTCTTCCAAAACCTGAAGAAAAATGCATCCGTTCTGTTGTATCACCTTTACGAAAACATGAAGAAGTTGCAAATTGAGCCAGTCACTGGCCCCTGTCAAAATACCAACAAAGAGTTCGAAATGTTACAAAATACACGGACCGAACGGGAACTGATTAGCGCCTCCTTCCTCACGAGGTACACCATTCTTGCTGACTACACTTGGGGAATGTTTTTCAATTACACTTGGCTGTCCCACGAAAACTGTTGAATGGCATAACAACTGGAAAACATTGATTTTCTTCTTGAACGCTGTTTTTTGCTTTTGTGAACGCACTTTAGTATTAAGAAAAACAACATTAGTAATCAGCCTTGCTTCTCTCGTTTCGATGCACATGGACTCGTTATTTTTGAAAACGGATTTTAATTATATAAACTAATTATATATTTGTTATTTTTTGCTTAATGTCGTTCTTGTTGCGATTCGCATTGGTAATACGTGTAATGCAATTATCAATTGATTAAAACATATGACAAAGCCTATTTTGTCTCTGAATTTTTTTCACAACATACATTAAATAACCATGAACTACTTTTCAAAGAGACTTTTTAATAAATCATTTATAACAGACTTTCTTCTCGAAAATCTCATTTAAATAATATGTCTCAAACACTCGAAGCTGCAAGATATTTGTGAAGTGTAATTTACTCCGACATTATATGTTTCCATGGGCAACAAATTTGCTTTAAAATCATTACACTTTCTACAGTTGAGAAACACGTTTGATCCATTTATGCTTTTCATTGTCAAAAAATACGTTCATAACTTGTTTTGCTTTCTATAGTTAAGAAAACGGTCGTCAATCGTAATGTATTTCATTGATATCTATATTGAACTGGACTGAGCATTGATCCTTTCACACGATGTTACCCAAATTAATATAGGGGACATCTTGTTGGTCCCTTGTCGTACTTTCGGTTGCCCAAACGAAGCATATATATTGTAGAGTTTTTAAGTTGAAGCCTATATCATATGTAAGTATGCCAACATGTGTTGCTTGTAATTGTAACAATAGACCAAAAACTGGTTCAGTGTCATTTCACTGGTAAGTTTTATATTTTTTCCGGTAAATAAATAATTATGAGTTGATTTATCGCTGCCAACACATTACATTGTTCAATATAATAACTAAGGCTTAAATGTATTTTTTTATTCAATCGATTCCATGCATTAGTGATATATATAAATGTAGTTTCTGCCCCTCTAATTTTACAAAATTAAAGAAATACAAAATGTTAAAAAAACAACAAATAATAGCAGAAGAACATAAAAAATAGGTCAGATAATCAAAATGACCAAGGTAATAAAAAGCAACAAAAATAGCCAAATATCGTTAAAAGATAACCCCAAATCGCTAAAAAAACATCGAAAATGACAATTATCAATTTTTTTTTCGTTGACGTATCATCTTGGTTTCATTCCTCCACTTAAAGGTATAGGGATATCTGCCCCAAATTTGGAGGCAAAGGCTATTATTTGGGGTTTTTAATATTTTACATTATTTGAATTAGTAGTTTAAAGTGTAGCAGAAACGTCATTTATATGCTACTAAAGGTTCTTTGTAGAAACACAGCTCAAACTCGTCATAAAATATAGAAAAAATTTTAAAGATGCAAAAAAAAAATATTGACAAAAAATCGTAAAAACAAAAACAAATTGTACAAAACGTTCTTAGGTAAATTGAAAGTATCTAACAATCCTTCGTCATTTTTTATAGTATTGTTGCGTCAGCGAGGTCACGTGACTAGTATCACGCCACTTCTTTCTAGAAATATCCTGTTCCTTCAAGAATGCCCTAGCATTTACTAGATATCTGTTAGTCTTGTATATATATAAGACGTTCACAACGTGACGGGACAACAGTGTAATGAGTAATTGAATGTATGCGGACAAAATATTGTTGACCACGTGCGACATAACGTTGTTATAGAGCGACTGTTGAAATTAAGTGTATCGTAAAGTTATATTCAGAAAGAATAAACCAGTTTTATTTAAGAAAGGACTTGTGTTGCTAAAGTTTCGTCGGAACGAATTTACGGAAAATTAATTAACGAACGGAGACGTAACAGTATTGTCATAGATTGTTTTATTTCAAAATATGCAAGAGATTCCTCGAATGGATTAGTATTAGTGGAAATTAATTAAATTTTATCATTTTTAGAAACATTAAAAATAAGTTCTGATGAATAAGTATTTTCATTTATTTGAAATGGACTTATTTCTTTTTCCCAAAATTTTAATTTAGAAGAAAAACTTAACTTTCATGTTCTAAACCTTACAATAATTTTCAAATATATGTCTTCTACGAGCACTATATTCGTATCTATGAAATCAGAATTAGATGTTCTATTAATAAAAATTTTAGTATTCGCTAAAAGTCCAATGGCATAGGATGGGAACCTTCTAGTTATATAATATATTTATAAATCTACCAGAGATTCAAACTCTACTATGTTTCTGTTAATTTATGAAATAGTAAAACGTTTGATTAAGTAATTTATATCATCTACATTCGGTTCTATTAAATTTGTTATAATATTTCTATTTGCATCAATTTTGTTTTTATTTTTGTTTAGTTTTAATGAATTATATTCCAAGTATTGTAATTTTCTCGTAGTTTCAGCATTAAAGTTTGTACCACTTAAATTAGTGCTGTCAATTGATTCTTTCGAATTTCTTTCTAATACATTTATATTAATTTATAATGTTCACTCCAAATCAGTCAAGTTTTCACTGTACAATCTGAGCTGAACGCTCGCCTGTAATTGTACCGATTGCTCGTGCTAGGCCAAGATTCCAGTATTCGTCTGCGATATGAATATTAACGTTCACGTAGCGTCGATTCTGACTTGAAGTCCAGTGTAACAACAAAACGGACGCCATTATCCCATATTTCGCCAAGTTTCACTTTCAGGTCCTCTTTTTTTCTTTGCTCTCAATGTCCCTAAAAGCTAAAATACCAGAGGGGGAGTTAGGTCAAAACTCCCAAGATGGGATATGTGATAACAGATATTGTTCCCAATATATGATATACTTTAAACAAGTACTGATACCGCAGGTAATGGTACTGTTACAGATTTCAAGCCCTGGTTTTTATTTCATCTATTTCCAGAGAGAAGTTTTAGCGGTATAACAAAATTTTTACATCAACAAGATGAGGATACAAAACACAAACCAATTAGACGTAAATTTAAAAGAAGGAGAGGATCAGTGGCAAGCATATTTAGTTGATATGAGCCAATATAAATCTTACAAAAATAGCACAAGCTATATTTTAACAATTATAGATAATTCTAGTAAATGTGCTTGGGCTGTTCTAATTAAAGTATGAACAGGAGGAGAAATAACAAAAGCTTTCAATGAAAGGGAAAAAATCAGATTGATAAAGGAAAAGAAGTTATATCAATAACAAAACTCAGAAATTATTTAATGACAAGAATATTCATTGAAAGCGATGTTAAAGTTCAGATTATTAAAATTTTTTAAAAACTTTGAAAATTAAAATATGGAAA